TCAACGTTTCATTGTAGAACATATACATTTATGATGATTACTAAAAAAAATTGTGTCTGTAGCTTAATTATATAATTTTTGATGTTCTATTATAAAGTTTAGAATATTAATCGTAAATCTATCTATTATAAATACTTTGTAGTTGCTTTTTAAGTAACACAACGTTATAAATAATATTTTTGAAGAATATTACTTGTTTCTGAAGAATATGAACTATATTTTTTAACATTTCCAAAAAATATTATTTGGTCTGGATGAATATGAATCATAATTTTCAATATTCCAAAATAATACTGACATATTGCTATGAAAAGCATGAATTTCAATTTTTTATATTTCAAATAAAGATATTGGTTTATTGCTGCTGAAGAAGTAATAGTAAAACATAAAGTACTTTTGAAGAAGTACAACTTTTCAAATATTGATATTTGTCTAGAAATCATACTCGTGAAGATTTAATCTTTTTAAATAATAATTTATTGGTGCTCCTTTAGTAGCACAACATTGTTCTAAAAGAATATTATTGCTCATGAAGCAACACACTATTATTGACAAATATTTTTGTTACATTTCACTTACTCTCGAAGAGCATAATTAAATACAATCTAACCTAAATTATGTTTTTCCTCCTAAAGAGTAAATTCTTATATAATTTATTATTTTAATAATAATATATTATTGCTCCTGAAGTATGACACTACGATTCCAATATTTTCAGAAAAATATTGATGTTGCTCCTAAAGAAGCGAAAATAAAATATAACGTACTCTTAAAGTAGCACATGTTTTGAAGAATATATCATGTATAATTTATGAATTTGCGTTTATCTCTGAAGAAAAATATACGACTTATTTCATGTGGACATTGATCATTATATGATTATATAATGTTTAATCATATTTTTTGTAATTAATGCTTTGTTTGATTCTTATTTTTTCAAAAATGCATGTTTTTTTTAACCACACATTCTTCATAAAATAATATTACACGTAAATTTAAAAAAATTTCTTATCTTTCAACCACACATTTCTCATCATTCTACTATTCTAAAATGCATTTTTCTTAAAATGCGGCTCAAACACCCTCTAAATAATTGAATTATATTTATACTGAACAAGAAGTTCAATTCGACTTTATTATTTGGCATGACTAGTTTGATCATCACTAGATTAATAATGAAGCGAAATTAAAAATTCAAATGGATATGTAATAAAGAACCAAAAAAAAAATCTTCAATTCAATCATATATGACGTGTGTTCTCTTTCTTTAAAAACAATTAGTTAAAATAGGGACTGAATTCCCTATATTTCTGAAAATTAATTAGTGTGATAAATGAGGCCACATCATCCTCCACGTTGATCATCTAAATATTGTTTATATCTAATAGGTTTGTTACATATACTAGATGATTGCATGGTGTTAGTAATCTGAAGTTTGTGAAATTACTGCTCAGATTTAGAATTGTTAGCTTGATTTTTAGAGTATACAATCAAGACAATGTCTTGTTAATCTTAGTGATTAAAAATCACAATATTTTAATAAGTGTTAGTTATGATGTCAACAAATTCTTTAACACTATTATTCGTTAAACTTCTCCAATTAATTGAGAACAAAGTTCTTCCCAATTTTGTAGAAATGCTGTCACGCATCATGTCAATATCATAGTTCCTCTCGTTATAATTGACTTATAATTAGAGTCTGATTTTTTAATTAGATTATTCTCTACCTCTATCGGATCTCACTATCTTAATTATTTTACCGCATTAATGTTTCTCTACTTTAGCTTTAAATACCTTAAAAGCACCTAGTACTTCATTTTTACTGTTAAGAGTAGAGATACATGTATCGCGAGTAATCATCTATAAAAGAGATGAAGTATTTATCGCGGTATGCATCCATGTCTGGACTACAAATATCCGTGTATATGATTTTCAATAATTCAGAGCTTCTCTTGGCACCCTTTTTCGACTTGTTAGTCTGCTTTCCCTTAATGCAGTCTATACAAGTCCCAAAGTCCGTAAAATCTAGCGTACTAAGTACCCCAAGTCCTGCAATGAATTGGTCACATAGATCGTAGAACCAGAATCAATCCACCATGTGTTATGATTAATATCAATCATATTGGATTCATAACAAACATGTGAGAGTTGAGTATCCTTTTTGTCAAGCCACTTCATGAACTTGGAGCATTGCTTTTTAACGTGCCGCTTCTTCTTGCAAAAGAAGCACACAATCTCCTTCTTAATGTCATTTTGAGGATGTATTTTTCCATTCCCCTTGTCCATGGCCCGATCTTTCTTTTTCTTTCCTGGAGTTGTCAAATACATCTTTTCCTTTTTACCTTCCTCTATAAGTAGTGTGCCCTCTTCCTGAACACACATGGTCAGCAACTCATTAATGGACCATTTATCTTTATGTGTGTTATAGGAGATCTTGAATGGGCTATATTGTTGAGGCAAAGTACAAAGGATATAGTGAATCAGGAATGATTCGGACATCTCAACTTCCAATTTCTTGAGTTGGGTTGCCATATCTCTCATGCACATGATATGATCACGCACAACCTTAATGTCGATGAGCTTCAAGGATGAAAACTGCATAATGAGAGTGTTGGCCATCGCTTTATCTGAAGTGACGAATTGCTTGTTAACGGCCTTAAGCAAATCTTGGACTTTGTCACACTACTCGATAGAGCCCCTACCACCATCAGATATTTTCGTCTTTATGAACATAACGGAAATACGATTAGATCGCTCCCACTTTTCATAAAGTTGAACTGCCTCTGGAGTGCTGGTAGCGGTTACTGTAGGGGGCTCTTCCTTCCTTATGGCGTAATCTATGTCCATCCATCCCAAGTGATGGAGAATTCTCTCCTTCCAGGTCTTATAACAATCCCCTTTCAGCTCGGGAAAATCACTTTTCATATTAGAGAAATTAACAGGTTGACTTGCTGCAATAAATCAAACATTCATGCTCATTTTACAAAATTTGAAGCTAACATAACATAAGACATATTTTACCAGTATAAAATCATGCAAAATATGAATCTAGTGACATAAGACTTGCATGTGGGCTAAAGTTCTAATTCAATTAGATTCATTTTTACTTCACAATAAAACTATCAAATTATGTTCCCGTTTCTAATCCTTGGGGGCAAATTAGAGAATATAGTTTGATATTTTATTTTAATTAATCATAGATATATAATAAAATTCTTGTGGGATAATATTCATTATATTAAATATGATTAACCACAATTAATGTCTTTATTCAATATGTGATCCTATACATTTAATATATAATTTTGTACAATTAAGGATGATGTGACTACTCCCCAATTAATTAAATTATATGGTCACTCAACTTTTAATTTAATTCACAAAAATATGCTCATATAAATTGCACAAAACCATAAGCAATATGAACACAATTAAATTTTAATGTACTAAATTATTTAACTCAATATTATATATATAACAAAACAATAAAAATTATACATACAAAACAATAAAACAACCGCTTGACCCCATTCTTGTCAAATTTTAATGGTTGGAATAATATTTTTTTGAAAAATGTGTGGTTGAAAAAAATGAAAAGTTTTTTTATTTGCGTTTAATATTATTTTTTGAAAAATTGTATAGTTAAAAATAAGGAAAAAAAAAAAAGAGAAGGAGAATGAGGGTCAAATGGGGGCAAAATAAGTTTAGTACATATGAAAACAAATCACCAAATAATTCTCATTAATTTCCAGCACATGGTCCACAAAGAGATACAATTTCAAAATTTTCGGCTGGCACTTGTGCAAGTCCAAAATTTTATTAAAGTAATCCGAATTAATAATATTAAACATTCCATTTCTATATTATAAATGGCAGCCTTTATTTCATGCACGTGGCCCGCATGCTAAAAACTAATGGTTAAAACAAAAACAATTTTTGTACCTTAATTAGTAATAGACAAGGAAGGCCCACTGCATGTCAACATAATTTGACATGTCTTCCTGAAAACAAGTTTGAAAAGATTGTTTACTATTTTTTTTTATGTTTTTTTTAAAAAAAAAAAGGTTAAACCCTAACCTTAAGGGTCTCCCACTACCCCTACTCTGGAGCATCGTGAGGGAGGTAAATCGCAGGTTATGCCTCCAAGGGTACAGGGTGTAAGACTGCTTGTACACTTGCACTTACCCAAGAGCCAAATCCATATTTCAGGATTCGAACTCTTGACGCAGCAACATCAAGCAAAGCTGGATTTCTCCACCCTCCCCTTTTACCACTTGGAGATGTGCCCTGGGGGCATTTTTTTTTTTTTTATGTTTTTTTCAGAGGTTGTCTTCAACCTCCCGTCCGGTTGTTTTGACCCATTTCGACCCGGTTTCAACCCGAATGAAAAATCCGATCATATCTTATGATTCTGACTCGGTTTCAACCCATTTCGACCCTGTTTCAACCCGAATGAAAAATCCGATCATATCTCATGATTCTGACCATCAAATTTCGCATATTTTATATCAAAATTCTCAGAAATCGATTTCCCAATGATTCCTAATCTCAGTTTCTATAAAAATGACTAATTCAAAAACCAAAATTTTCAACAAAATGTGTGCAGGCTGAGAACAAACAAGGCAAAGACAAAACGAAGGCTCTGATACCAAATGTAAGTCACCTTAAGCGATCTAAACATGCTTCAATAAACAAAATAACATTTAGATCAATGCAGAGTAAATTGGATCGAAAACGAACCTCCCGCCATTGCCGTTCTTGATGCACTCATTCAAGATTGTATGTAGTGTTTAGCTGCGAGTTAAGGCTCTTCTAAGCTATCTTTCTCACTGTTTAGATGGTGTATACAAACTGAACATGAAAATGATCTTAGGGATCTTCCGAATGAATTTCAATGCCTTTTATAAATGCTCTGCCCATCACAGAGCGACTTTTTTTTTTTTTTTTTTTGCCCGCTTT